TCCAAGTTGAATTTGTTAATGCATGATTTTGAATTATTTTTCATGAAACCTTTTGAAACGATCTTAGACATGTATACCAGATTCATTCAAATTGTAAACTCATTGCATGATTTAGGAAAAGATTTTTTAAATTTTGAAAAAGTTAACTAAATTCTTTGATGTCTACTGGATAAATTTGATTCTAAAGTTGTTGCTATTTGTGAATCAAAAGTTTTGAATGATTATTCTTTTGATAATTTGATTGGCTAACTCATTGCCTACGAGCAAGGGTTGGGTCAAAGACTTTTGGATGCAGGTGAAACAATAGTTCTAAAAGCTAAAGATACGAAAAGAGGAAGCTTAGTTGGTGACGATAGCAATGACTTGTCAAGCAAATCATAAAGCTCACCAAAGCATAAGCAAAAGTGGAAAAGATAAAAATGGTAAGGATGTTAATATTTCCTCTAACGTTATTTATTTTTGATGTAGGAAACCTGGATATATGAAAAATGAGTGCCATAATTTAAGAATTCTTCCCGCAAAAGAAAAGGGTAAGGCGAAGCTAAATTTAAACTAGGAAAATAATGAAAAGCAAAAAATCTCATGGGCAGATCTGGTCTCTGAAGCATCGGACCAGGAAAGAGATAATGGTTAAATGCCTTATTTGTGTATTTCTTTTTTGTTTTCATTTTTTTTCTTGTTTTTGTTTTCGTTAATTTTTTTCTCTCATCAACAAACACATTCACTTTTCTAAAAATGAAAAATATACTTCCTGATTTTTCTTGAAATCTTTGGTAAGTTATGTTTGACTTCTCTAAAATAGTCAAAGGAAGAAAACTTATTTTTTTTACTCTCAATCTCTGTTTTTTAAAAGAGGTTATCCTACTTTTGATTTAAAATCTTTTTCATCTATTAAATTAGTTTTTTAAACAAAATTTTTTATCTCCCTACATTTTAATTATTCGCATAGGAATCTTTTGCAAGTTTTTTGAATCTAACTCATTATTTTCTTAATCAAGAAATTCGCTTTGTCACTAAGATGGGTTTTCCTTTATTTTTAAGATTTAAGAAAGGAAGCATATTCAAAAAATTGGTCAATAATGCCAAAAATAAAAGATGCGCATAGTCGCCAAATTGAAAATATAGAATACACAAAGTGTATCAAAAGATGCGCAGTGCGCCAACCAATTGTCAAGAGGCATAAAATGAGCCCACAAAGTTAATGCTTACCATTCTTGTACTTCTTAAAAAGCTTAAGAAAACTCTTGATACTTTTGATACTTGAGTTTGAAAATCTTGATTCCTGATTCAAAAATTCGTGCATTGATCTTCTATTAGATAGATTTTATGGAAGGAGTTTTTGAAAAATGATTATTTCTTTCTCTAATTTATTTTATGATTTTGATATTGAATTAAAAAGTTTTTGATCCTTTTTAAAGAACTTGAGTTTGGATTATCGAATTTTGAATTTCTAACCTTTACTGGGCTATGCGTTGTCAATCCAATTCTACTAAAATTTTGATTAAAACCAAGTGGTAACTTTCTCATTTTAAGAATATTTGTTTTTTCACTAGATCAGGGAATGTTTTTGTCTTTTAGTCATTTTCTGTGCCTCCTCTCTTTTTTGATAATATCAAAGGGGGAGAACCTACTTGTATCCTTTGTTTTCTTTTCAAAAAATTTAGAAACAACAAAAATATTTTTTTCTCCCCTATTTTTTTTAAAAGCATTATTCAAGTGAGGGGGAGATTAAGAGAAAATTCAATTTCAAATTGTTTGTCATCATCAAAAAGGGGGAGATTATTGCGGATCAATGGTTTATCATTTTGATAATAATAAACATTCTTTATTTCTCTACGATTGCCTTATGTGCTAACGTTTCAGGTCCACACGATCAGACTGTAATTTGGAACCAGCTTAAAATTGGGTAGACTAGGTTTGTGTAAGTTTGTGATCTTTTTCCTTTCTTGAGTCTATTATATTGGGTGTGGGACCTATTTTTTTTGTAACATAGAAGTTTTCCTATTGTTTCCTTTAGGATTTTTATATTTGGTAATATCGGTCGGGATGATATGTCCAAAATTAGAAACCCTAATTAGGGCATCCTCATTAAGGCAGCCGTCATAAACATATCGGCCTGGACGATATCTATATCGGCCTGGATGATAATCTCAATTCAGAAAGAATCAGCCGCCATAATCAGTTTAGGTATTCTTTATTTTAGGAAATCAGCCAGGACGATATTCCTATCGTCTAGGCCGATCTAACTCAATTATGCCTAAATTGATATGTAGGCTTGGACGATATTCTGGACGATTTATTTCGGACAGCATCTATCCAGAGCGATGAATAGGACGATTGAAATCAGTTTTAAACTAATTGGCCAGGACGATCGTGAGATCGTCCAGGATGATGTAACCAATTTTCTTCTGATCGTCCCATATCATCCCGGGCTGATGAGCTGAATTTGTACTAATCGTACAGGACGATAGTCCTATCGTCCTGGATGATAATGTCAGAAACTTGCATTAATGAGCTCGTTTTGAGAGCTTCAATTTAAGCTTTTTCAAGGTACTTTTGTAAGTGTCTTTGGAAGCCATTGTAGCTTCATTTTTGTGGGGGAGACTTGAAGAGAGAGCTTGAAAGGGAGTGAGGAACGGGTGAAGTCTGGGCGGGAGAAGATCCTGTGAGCGGGGACTCAAGGGAGTGTGGACGGGATTCCACATGGTTGCTCCGGATGGCTTGCATCTTAATACCGTAGGAGTCAAGGCTCATCTCGAGGGATGTTCACCAAAGAAGAAGACCTCTTTGGTGTCAAAGGACCCGGCGACTCCGCCGCACCGGGGAAGGTGGAAGGGATTTTGTAAGTGCTTCTCCGCCTAGCTGTGGGGGATAAAGGAGAGACACTATTTAGTGCAATACTTGGAGGGTGCCTCCAAGGCGTGGAAGTAGGTCAAGGTTTGACCGAACCACCATAAATTCGGTGTGTTCTTTTCTTATTATCGCTTCCGCATTTTTTTCTTCTGCACTTTGTTTGTGGTGATTTTGATTTGAGTTTTGTTTTTAAAGGACTAGTTCTATAGGGCATAACATCCCTAACGAACTTTCAGTTAGTACACACAAGAGCAAAAACAAATCTTCCAAAAGTGTTAGCAGATAACTACACATAAAATAATAATATTTAGAATCATCAAAACTATACAAGTTGTAAGAATATAAAATATGTAAATAGCAACACTCTTAACATGATGTGCCTAGAGCGCATCAGCGCCCCGTCTGGCTTAAAAAGAGCTTTCCAGAAAGGGGTTATAGTGCCAAATCGGAGTCTTGGGTGAAACGTTATTGCAATCCTCGCACTGTTGGGTCCTAGGACCCGCCCGTCTCTTTTACGGGTCCCACAATGTGGATTTCTTTGCCCGATGCGATGCAAGCCAACACTGCCAATGGCTTCTATGCTATGGCGAAGAGCTGCAAAGAGAGAGAGAGAGAGAGAGAGAGAGAGAGAGAGAGAGTATGTTGGTTAAAAAAGGGGTGCAACACGAGGACTTCCCAAGAGGTTACCCATCCCAGTACTACTCTCTCCCAAACACGCTTAACTATGGAGTTCTGATGGGATACGGTGCACTGGTGCTGGTATGGTCGCACCCGTAACATTATGTTCTCAAATAATACTTCAGAAGACTCCGATGAAATGGTCATTTTGGGGCCTCTTCATTCTTGTGGGACGAAGGTGATAGAAAATGCATTTTTGACTACTCGAGCATGGCCGATTGGCTTGAGGCACATTGGCGACCCGTCCGACTCAGAAAGAGCTTTTTGGAATGGGGTCATTATGCCGAATCGGAGTCCTGGGCAAAAAGTTAATGCCATTCCCACACGGTTGTGTCCTGAGACCCGCCCGTCGCCTTCACGGGTCCCATGATGCAGATTTCTTTGCTTGATGCGAGGCGAGCCAACACTTCAAGTGGTTCGTAGACTGTGGCTAAGAGCTGTAAAAAAAAAAGAGAAGGTTGATTTAAAAAGGCGTGCAACATGAGCACTTTCCAAGAGGACACTCATCCCAGTACTACTCTCACCCAAGCATGCCTAACTACGAAGTTCTGATGGGATCCGGTGCACTGGTGCTTGTATGGTCGCACCCATAATATTATGTTCTCAAATAATACTTAAGTAGACTCCGATGAAATGGTGATTTTGGGGCCTCTTCATTCCGGGGGGCTGAAGGTGATTTAAATGCATTTTTTGACTGTGCAAGCCCGGCCGATGGGCCTAAGCCACATCGGTGCCACGTCCGGCTCATGGAGACCTTTCTGTAATGGGGTCATATTGCCAAATCAGAGTCCTGTCTAAAAAGTTATTGCCATTCCCATACGATCGGGTCCTAAGACCCGCCCCTCGCCTTCATGGGTCCCACGATGTGGATTTCTTTGCCAGATGCAAGGCGAGCCAACACTGCCAGTGCATCGTAAGCTGTGGCGAAGAGCTGCAAAAAAAAAAAAGAGAGAGTAGGTTGGTTGAAAAAGGGGTACAACACTGGGACTTCTCAGGAGGTCACCCATCCCAGCACTACTCTCGCCCAAGCACGCTTAACTGCAGAGTACTGACGGGATCCGGTTCAATTGTGCGGATATGGACGCACTCATGATATTATGTTCTCAAATAATACTTAAGTAGACTCTAATGAAATGGTGATTTTGGGGCCTCTTCATTCCGGCGGGTCGAAGGTGATCGAAAATGCATTTTTTGACTGTGCGGGCCCGACCGATGGGCCTGAGACACATCGACAATCATCTGCGTCGGAAAGAAGTTTACGGAATTGGGTCATAGTGCCGAATCGGAGTCCTGGGCAAAACGTTTTTGCCATACCCGTGCGGTCGGGTCCTAGGACCCGCCCGTCGCCTTCAAGGGTTTCATGATGTAGATTTCTTAGCCTGATGCGAGGCGAGCCAACATTGCCAGTGGTTCGTAGGCTGTGGCGAAGAGCTGAAAAAAAAAAAAAAGAGAGAATGTTGGTTGAAAAAGGGGTGTAACACGTGGACTTCCCATGAGGTCACCCATCCCAGTACTACTCTCGCCCAAGCATGCTTAACTGCGGAGTTTTGTTGTGATCCGGTTCACTGGTGCTGGTATGGTCGCACCCATAAAATTATATTCTCAAATAATACTTAAGTAAACTCCGATGAAATGGTGATTTTGGGGCCTCTTCATTCCAATGTGCCAAAGGTGATCGAAAATACATTTTTTGTTTGTGCTAGCCTAGTCGATGTGCCTGAGGAGAACCGACGCCCTGTCGGACTCGGAATGAGCTTTCCAGAATGGGGTCATAGTGCCAAATCGGAGTCCTGGGAAAAACATTATTGCCATTCCTGCACGGTCGGGTCCTAGGACCCGCCCGTCGCATTCACTGGACCCACAATGCGAATTTCTTCGCCCGATGTGAGGCGAGCCAACACAACCAGTGGTTCGTAGGCTGTGGGGAAGAGCTGCAAAAAAAAAAAAAGAGAATAGGTTTGTTGAAAAAGGGGTGCAAAACCAGGACTTGCCAGGAGGTCACCAATAAAAGTACTACTCTCGCACAAGCACGCTTAACTGCGGAGTTATTTTTAGATCTGATGCACTGGTACTGATATGGTGACAGACATGATATTATGTTCTCAAATAATATTTAAGTAGACTCCAATGAAATGGTGATTTTGGGGCCTCTTCATTCCGGTGGGCCGAAGGTGGTTGAAAAATGCATTTTTTGACTGCGCGAGCCCGGCTGATGGGCCTGAGGCACATCGGCGTCCCGTCCGGCTTAGTAAGAGCTTTCCAGAATGGGGTCATAGTACCAAATTGGAGTCCTGGGTAATAGGTTATTGACATTCCCACGCGGTCTGTTCTAAGGACCCGCCCGTTGCCTTCAGGGGTCCCATGATAATGATTTCTTAGCCTGATGCGAGGCGAGCCAACACTGCCAGTGGTTTGTAAGCTGTAGCGAAGAGCTGCAAAAAAAAAAAAAGAGAGAGTAGGTTGGTTGAAAAATGGTTGCAATACGAGGACGTTCCAGGAGGTCACCCATCCCAATACTTCTCTCGACCAAGCACGCTAAACTGCGGACTTCTGATGGGATCCAGTGCACTGGTTCTAGTATGGTTGCACCCGTAATAATATGTTATCAAATAATACTTAAGAAGACTCCGATGAAATGGTGATTCTGGGGCTTCTACAATCTGGCAGGACGAAGGTAATCAAAAAATGCATTTTTTGACAGATCGAGCCTAATCGATGGGCATAAGGCGCATCGACTCCATGTTCGGATCGAAAGAGCTTTACGGGATGGGGTCATAGTGCCGAATCAGACTCTTGTGCAAAAAGTTATTTCCATTCCCACGCGATCAGGTCCTATGACACGCTCGTCACCTTCGTGGGTCCCACGATGTGGATTTCTTTGCCCAATGCGAGGCGAGCTAACACTACCAGTCATTCGTAAGCTGTGGCAAATAGCTGCAAAAAAAAAAAAAAGAAAGAAGGTTGGTTGAAAAAGGGGTGCAACACGCGAACTTCCTAGGAGGTCACCCATCCAAGTACTACACTCGCCCAAGCATGCTTAATTGCAGAGTTCTAACAGGAATAGATGCACTGGTGCTGGTATGGTCGCACCCATAATATTATGTTCTCAAATAATACTTAAGTAGACTCCGATGAAATGGTGATTTTGGGACCTCTTCATTCCGGCAGGCCGAATGTGATCAAAAATGCATTTTTTGACTGTGTGAGCCTGGACGATGAGCCTAAGGCGCATAGGCTACCCGTCCGTCTTGGAAAGAGCTTTCCGTAATGGGGTCAAAATGCCGATTCATAGTCATGTGGGAAAAGTTATTTCCATTCCTGTGTAGTGGGGTCCTATGACCCGCACGTCTCCTTCACGGGTTCCACAATGCGGATTTCTTCACCCTATGTGAGGGGTGCAACAAGAGGACATCCGAGGAGGTTACCCATCCCAGTACTACTCTCGCCCAAGTACGCTTAACTATGGAGTTCTGATGGGATCCGATGCACTAATGCTGGTATGGTCGCACCCGTAATATTATGTTCTCAAATAATACTTAAGTAGCCTCCGATGAAAAGGTGATTTTGGGGCGTCTTCATTCCGGCAGGCTGAATGTGATCAAAAATGCATTTTTTTGATTGTGTGAGCCCGGTCGATGGGCCAGAGGCGCTTTGATGCCCTGTCCGGCTCGAAAAGATCATTCCGGAATGGTTTCATAGAGCCGAATCAGAGTCCTGTGCAAAAAGTTTTTTCCATTCCTGTGCAGTCAGATCCTTGGACTCTCCTGTCGCCTTCATGGTTCCCACGATGCGAATTCCTTCGCTAGATGCGAGGTGAGCCAACATTGCCAGTGGTTCATAGGCTGTGGCAAAGAGCTACAAAAAAAAAGAGAGTAGGTTGGTCGAAAAAGAGGTGCAATATGAGGAATTCCCAAAAAGGACACCAATCCCAGTACTACTCTCGGCCAAACACGCTTAACTCCAGAGTTCTAATGGGATCCAATACACTGGTTCTAGTGTGGTCGCAGCTGTGATATTATGTTTTCAAATAATACTTAAGTAGATTCCGATTAAATGGTGATTTTGGGGCCTCTTCATTCCGGCGAGCTGAAGGTGATCGAAAATGCAATTTTTGATTGTGTGAGCCCGACTGATGGCCTGAGGCACATCATTGATCGTCTTGCTTGGAAATAGCTTTCCAGAATGCAGTCAGAGTGCCGATGCGAGGCGTGCTAACACTGCCAGTGGTTCGCAGACTGTAGCGAAGAGCTGCAAAAAAAAAAAAAGAGAGTAGGTTGGTTGAAAAAGGGGTGCAAGACGAGGACTTCCCAGGAGGTCACCCATCCCAGTACTACTCTCGCCCAAGCACACTTAACTACGGAGTTCTGATGGGATCCAGTGTACTGGTGCTGGTGTGATCATACCCATAATTTTTTGTTCTCAAATAATACTTAAGTAGACTCCGATGAAATGGTTGGGGCCTCTTCATTCCAGCGGGCCAAAGGTGATCAAAAATGTATTTTTTGACTGCGCGAGATCGGCCGATGGGCCTAAGGTGCATCGACTCCTCGTCCGGCTCGGAAAGAGCTTTTCGGAATGGGTTCATAGTGTCAAATCGGAGTCCTGGGCAAAAAGTTATTGCCATTCCCACGCGGTCAGGTCCTAGGATCCGCCCGTCACTTTCACGGTTCCTACGATACGGATTTCTTTGCCCGATGCGAGGCGAGCCAACACTGCAGTGGTTTGTAGGCTATGGCGAAGATCTGAAAAAAAAAGAATAGGTTAGTTGGAAAAGGGGTACAACACGAGGACTTCCCAGGAGGTCACCCATCCCAGTACTACTCTCACCCAAACACGCATAACTGCGGAGTGCTAATGGGATCCAGTGCATTGGTGCTGGTGTGGTCACACACGTAATATTTTGTTCTCAAATAATAGTTAATTAGACTCCGATGAAATGGTTATTTTGGGGCCTCTTCATTCTGGGAGGCCGAAGGTGATTGAAAATGTATTTTTTGACTGCGCGACCTCGGTTGATGGGCCTGAGGTGCATCGACTCCCTGTCCGGCTCGGAAAGAGCTTTCCAGAATGGAGTTAGAGTGCCGAATCAAAGTCTTGAGCAAAATGTTATTGCCATTCCAACGCGGTTGGGTCCTAGGACCCGCCTGTCGCCTTCATGGGTCCTATGATGTCAATTTATTTGCCCGATGCGAGGCGAGCCAACGCTGCCAGTGGTTCGTAGGCTGTGGCGAAGAGCTGCAAAAAAAAAAAGAGAGTAGGTTGTTTGAAAATGTGGTGCAATACGAGGACTTCCTAGGAGGTCAACCATCCCAGTACTACTTTCGCCCAAGGATGCTTAACTACGAAGTTCTAATCGGATCCGATGCACTGGTGCTGCTATTGTCACACCAGTAATATTATATTCTCAAATAATACTTAAGTAGACTCCGATGAATTGGTAATTTTGGGGACTCTTCATTCCGGTGGGCCGAAGGTGATCAAAAATGCTTTTTTTGACTGCGCGAGCCTGGCTGATGATCTTAAGGCACATCGATGTCCTGTCCGGCTCGAAAAGTGTTTTCCAAAATGGGTTTATAGTGCCAAATCGGAGTTCTTGGCTAAACGTTATTCCCATTCCCGTACGATCGGGTCCTAGGACCGGCCCGTCGCCTTCACAGAAGATTCAAAGTCCGATTTGTGCGCCTTCAGTGCCACTGTTTTCTCCTTCTTCTTCTCACCTGCATCAAATTTCTTTGATTCACCCCTAGCTTGTAAGCAATTAGTGAGCCAAGTAAGTTATCAATTGAATAGATGTTTAAATCCTTAGATTCAGTTATAGCAGTGATTTTAGCATAAAATGAAGAAGGCAAGCATCGCAAAATTTTGTTCACTTTTTCATAGTTTGAAAGTTCTCTTCCTAAGGCATGCAAATAAGTTATGATTTGAGTAAATCTTGTATACATATCAGAAATTGATTCATGAGGTTTCATTCGAAAAATTTCGTAATCATGCAAGAGAATATTCAAACGGGATTGTTTAACTTTATTAGTGCCTTCATAAGTGATACACAATTTATCTCAATTTTCTTTACTAGTTTTGCAAGTGGAAACATGCATGTAGTCTTCTGATTTTAAAGTACAAAAAAAACAATTCAGACATTTTGCATTTCTTTGAGCCAAATCCCTATCATCTAAAGTCCATTTAGTAAAAATAAGTGGAACATTAATGCCATTAAGTTTACCAGTTGGAGTGTGTAACCATCCTTAACAAGCATCCACATGCGATAGTCCGTTGATTGTAAAAATGTAGGCATGCTAGTTTTCCAAAAATCAAATGGGATATTGTCAAACAAAGGTGGTCGGGTAATAGAATACCCTTCCGGTGTATTACGATTCCCAAAGTTAGCCACGGATCAAAATTAAAAAAATTTTCAAACCCAGTTTTTTTGAATCCCGCTCTGATACCAGTTGAAAGTTTGTTAGGGATGTTAAGCCCTATAGAACTGGCCCAAGCTAACCAAGAGGGGGGGGGGGGGTGAATTGGTATTTTAAAAACATTTAAACAAAAGCACAATGAAATCTCATAAACCAAAATCACACCACAAGAAAAATAAGTGCAGAAATTATAATACGGAAGCAAGAAATAAGAACACAGAATTTTATAGTGGTTCGATCAAGTTGACCTACGTCCACTCCCCGGAGGCGCCCTCTGAGTATTACACTATAATTGTGACTCTCCTTTAGGCCCCACAGCTAGGCGGAGAAGCCCTTGCACGGAAATCCTTTTTGTCACCCCGGTAAGGCAGAGAACCTAACTCCTTTTGCTTTCTCCTAAAGCTGGCAGAGAACCATGATCAGTTGCTGAATCCTTACCTCTACGGACCCATCTACAGATGAGAAACTCTAAACGAAGAAGAAACAGAGCGATCCTTGAAGCAACCCTTATGAATCCTCTCACAAGCTCCCCCTCACAAGATCCTCTCTCTCTCTCTCTCTCTCTCTCTCTCTCTCTCCCTCCCTCCCTTTCTCTCTCCTCAAGGTCTTCTCAGGTCAAGGTAGTAGTAAAAGATCTTAAAAAAATATTTGATCAATTTCCTTTAGAAAGAAGAGCTCAAAATAGCTCATTAATTATAAATTGCCGACTTTATCTTCCAGGACGATCTGAATATTGTTCTGGCCGATTAGTACAAAGTTCTGAAGATCAGCCAGCACACTGCTCTGAAATTGAGCTAGATGATGGTAAAATTGGTCTGCTAGTCCAGGATGATCTCACGATTGTCCTGGACGATCAGTTCAAATAAGCACAATATCGTTCGGTGCATCGCTCTGGATTGGTGTTGTCCGATCTATATCGGCCAGTGCATCGCCCTGAATTCGTGCTGGACGATATTTATCGTCCAGGAGCCACTTAAGGATTTTAGAGTGGATCATCCTGGCCGATCTTTCTATCGTCCAGGATGATATGATCGTATCAATAATCCTTAATTAACTCCTTGATTGTCTGATCAATTAAGGCATAATTGTGAATATCATCCAGCCGATACAAAGATCATCCTAATTAATTACCAAAAATACAGTATACCTTAATTGTTTAAGTCGAAAATTTCATTCTGTTTTGAGCCCATCGTTCTAGAGGATACAAGTATCGTCCAAGCCGATACACTAATGACGACTGCCTTAATTAAGAACCCCTGTTTAAGACTTTCTATTTTAAGCCCGATCGTCTAGGACGGTGTAAATATCGTCCTGGTCGATATGAGTAAAAATAGAAATTCTAAGTCTCTCAAGTGTATATGTGTAGGGTTACTTAACATCAAAAACTTCAAAGATTACAATGGACTCATGAAAAAAAAAAGAAAATTACTGGCTGACTCAACCCTAATCTACCCATTCTTGAGCTGGCTCCCCTTTTCCGTCCAATCATTGATTCCTAAAAAGTCAGTAGTAAAAGGCAGTCCAAGACAAGTAAGAGTGTTTTCCAATCATCAAAACATAGTCCATGAATCAGAATTTGTAACATGTTATATTGCATATGATTCAAAGTTCTTTAACCATTCCTTGATTCGTAGGATAGAGCCATCTTAAATCCTGTATTCATCAGAAATTGTTATGTTTAGGATTGTTAGCTAGCAGCCCACCTAGGCAGATGGAAAGTCTAGATTATATACACATTTATCCCTGCACTTTCCTCAATCTAATCAACTTTAAACCCCCAAATCCATTGTTAAAGTCTATAATATAAAGCCTGATAATGAAATTTAAATTAGCACAAATATTTAGTTAAATTTGTATATAAATTTTGAAATTAATTAGTCTTTATTTAAATCAAGAGTATTATCTTAGGCGATATAATTAACTATAGGTGCTTGCCCTTATAGGGAGTCTAGATCCCAGAATAATCTAGTTTTCTTTCTAAGGTAGGGAAAGATCTGTGAAAGTAAACTTTGCTTTATCTATGTTTTTAAATTTATTTTCATAATCGAAGGATAGGTGGGTAGATGATTTTCTCTTACGAACGAATCAACTATCCTCTATACTTGGTTATGAAAATAAATCTATAATTTATTCTTTTAATAAGAATGATAGGAGAATGTGTTTATCATCCTTTGGGATGATTCATATATTCCCTATGCTATATCTAATTATGAAAATAAATTATAGCTTTCTCTTTTAAATCGATAGAAGGGCATTAGTCTACCATTTGGGGTGGTATAATATCTAACTATATGGATTTAATCAAAAGAAAATAATTAAATAAAAATAAAGAAAATCACGTGGAAACTAAAAGCATTTAAAAATAGAAAAAGAAAATCTCACAAGGAATTATCAAGGCTTCTCCGCCTTGCTATGGGGGCAACAGGAGAGTCACTTTGGTAATAGTGCAATACTTGAAGAGGGAGTCTTTAAGGAGTGGATGTAGTTCGTGTTTAACGGAACAACTATAAATCTTTATGTCATTTTATTTTCAACATTTATTTTTTGCAATTTATTTACTGTGGTTGAAAAGCTTATTTTAATCTAAAATCAAATTGCTGTAAAATTTAAATCAGTTTTTTCTATTAAAAATTTAATAGCTTTTTTAATTTACCAATTCACCCAACCCCAACACCCCCCCCCCCCTAGCTATAATTAAATAAATTTAATTATGATTAAATGTTTTGTAATAATACTAAATTATTATTAATTAAAACTAAATATAATATAAAAAAAATGAATGAGAGAGAACCTCTCCTGTGCCACGATTTGCATGGCACGAGCCAACACTATAACCTCGCCGACAACTAAGGTATAACCTCCTGAACATTTAGAAAACCTATTTTTGCACTTCCAACCTAGGCGAATAATAACAATGCACACTTTTCTTAGGACAGTGGGAGGATGTTTACCATGATGCCTGTGGCAAGGCATGTAATCTCCAAAAAGTCCT